TGTGGTCCTTCATCTGAATTTCAAAAACAAATATAAAATGGCAGATAGGAAAACAAGACTATACCTTATGGATATCCAGTTTGATGGAATTTGATGAAATTTCTCTGTAGGGTTCCTGAAATCTTGAGAGCCAACACCTAAATAAATCTATCTTCATCTACTATCATTGATGGATTTCAGATTGAAACTTTTAAAAATTCATATAACTTTCCAATAAATGTCCCACACAAAACCAACCAAAAACAAAATTATCTCCCTTTATAATTCAAGGTATGCAAGATCCCGACTAGCAATGTGTGAAGGATAGAAAAAAGTGGGAATTAGTGATTTAAGGATATCACACCTACATATCATGTTATGTTGATGTTGTCTGGAAAGCTGTAAGGATGTTGGCAGAACATGTGAGGAAAATAAACAAATAATCTATTAATTACATAACAAGGGCTACTGGCTAATTAGCTTAAGCGTTCTCTTGTTTATTTTGTGCCTACACCGGCACATAGGAAACAATGTCTGGATAAAGATGCAGCAAGCTTAGAATGCAGTGAAGTAGAGTCCTCCTCAGAACTTTGATGCACTGAAGCACTATCAAGAATTGAGTTGCTGGGAGTTTGGAAAACTTGATGAGCTCGCTAATTCATCTCCTCAAAGCCCCATTGAAGACCTTTATGGAAGTTGTCAAATATTTAATATTTCCCTACTTCTTGTGCCATTAGACATGTCATGCAGGGCTGCATCTTCAATTTGAACTGTTATAACTTGATAGCAGTACTTAAGCTATTCCTATCTTCATCATCAAAGAAATACAAGGAGAGTGTAATATATTGCCTGCCTTCTCTCTTCACCAATCTCTAGATTCTTTGAATTTATGTAATTAAGTTGCAACCTCTTGTGGTTAAAACTGCACAGGCATTTCACAAACTTAATTCTCTTTCTGGTTGGAAAGTTGATTAATATCAGAGTAAAGCCCTAAATATGCTAGCTTATTTGCCATCTTGGAGAGCTTAAAGTGCCTCCTCTAAAACTAAAATTTTGAGTATAGATTCAACAAGCAAACTTCTACCATTTAAAAACTGAAACATCCAATAGGAAAATGTACTCCCTAATTTGCAAATTTCCAATCATCCGAGTTCATAAACTGCTAAATGTTAGCCAAGGCTTCCCCCAGGAAATAACAATGTACAAATATCATTTAGGTATGTCAATATTTTCTCTGAGTAATCATACAGTTTTCCCTGGGTCAGTGCGAGGACTTTTAGGGCAGAGGAATCAATACACCTTCTGATCAGAATGACCAGTGATCTATGCCAGCCAATCAATTCAGCATGTAAATCTACCCCAATCGGGAGACTAATTGTCAGAATATTGTCAGATCCTTTAATGAATGTGCTCTATATATAAAGCTATGTATGTGCCTGTTACTCAAGTATCGGGAAGACTTCTAACATTTTTAAAGAAAATAATTCAAACCCAAGTTTATAGTAGGATTTACATGTTATCAAGTAAAAGGTTACGGTAAAACTGATCATAAGATGACCCCGTTTGTAAATTCGGAATTTGGTTGAAGAAAATTAAAGAATCCTTTATTTTTCATTTCGATGAAAATAATTACATGGTTGTCCAAACAAGCAGATAGGAAATCTATCAGGGCAAATGATTAGAGCTCTAACTTTGTAGTCTGATGGGGGGATATTGGTTATAAATGATAAAATAATCTATGGAAAAAGCAAATAAAGCTGGAATCATCATTACACTGGGGTTCTGCTTGAGCGATATACTTCATCATTATCTAACAGGGCAGGAAACTCAAGCAAAAATTTACGCAGCTTCAAAATATCTTGTTCTCTTCTTTGGAAACGGTTCAATTTTCAGAAATATGTTAAATGTTATCTTAAAAACTGACAGGTGTTTGGATTTATATCAATTTCTTTTCTTTCAAATACATTTTTCTGTTTTTGGTTCTGATTTAAGGTAATTTTTTTTCTCTCCCCAATGGACCACCAGAAGTGAATATGTTTAAGATCATTTATCAAAATAATTATTTTTTCCAACATAGTTTACTGCAAAAATGTTCAATGCTATGAAAGAAATGTCAAATTTTGTTTGAAAATGAATGAAGTCTGACAAATACTAACCAAAAAGAGGCTGAAGTTCGTTATTTAAAAATTGTAAAGAAGAAATTGACAATTAGGAATCAAAAATACACAAATCAACCTAAAAACAAAAACAAGCAAAATGTACAAAACTTTATATTAAGAATGAAAGATTAAGATTTATCAATAAAATATATGCTATTGACCAATTATCATATTTGCCAAGTATTGAAAAAAGCGAAGAAGCAAAAAGTTCAGTCAATGCTTCATAATTAGTAAAATATTTCAGATACCGTTACCAAAATATTTTAATTTACCACTAATATCATACCCTTTCAATCAAAAATACAATTCTGCAGTTGTTAAAACTGAAAAATCTGGCCATAAAATATGTTAGAAGAACAAGAAAAACCTAAATACCATTATCCACCAATACCACTTCAAAGCCATCTCCTGCACCAAAAAAAAAATTGTATGTGACTTGCCTTGTTATTATTGTTATATGCAGAGTGAAATGGATAATAGACGTCACTTTTCCACTCCACAGGTCCGTTGTCATATAGAGACTTGCAGCGATTTGGAGAAGTAGGACTCTCCACTTTGGCATCCATCTTCAAATCAGTCAAAGACAACTTTCAAACCAAAGTGTATCGATACTATTCCAATATCTATTTTTCACACAAGTAATTAATATATTTCCACTTATGCACCAAATATTATTTGAGGTGAAGAAAACTCCAGATATGCAAATATAAAGGTCAAAGTTATGCAAATGAGAGAAAGTCTTGTTCCCTATATTCCAAGTCAATAGGTAAATATTTTCTTCCTGAAGTATTTCCTCTGAGCATTGAACTTCAACAGTGTGTTTCAAGCACAACAGGTTAGAAAAATTCTCATTAGAAGCATGAGAGAATGTAATATTGTCAGTTTCTAGAGTCGGAAAAACTTGTAACGCTAAAGCTATTTCACCTCTCCCAGGGTGATGGTCAATGCCGGTGAAACCTAAACATCATTAAAGCATTTCAAGGACCGCTGCCAAAAAAAACTTGAAACTTCAAGTATGAAGTTTCAAGCTTGAAAAAAATTGTTTCCCCTGCCAACAACTTGTTTGATAGGTTGAAAGATCTCCAGTTATTGGAGGTAATATTGGTGGATCATGTGGTGATCAGTGGTTACGAACCATTCCTTCCAACCAGTTACTATCAAGGGTTGAAGCTCCATATCTTATTTATAGTTTAACTTCTATAATATTTTGAATATATATCTCTATCAAAAATGGATCCACCTTAAAATTTTCAGCAAAAATGGATCAAACTCCTTTGCCTATATATTATGATGATGTTTTTTAGAGATAAACCTCTAGATCTAACCACCATCAGTTACTGTATTATTTTTTTTTCTTTTGGTTTTTTATGATAAGGGCAAGTGGGGTGATCTTTTTATATAATGCAGACACTGTTAGCAGGTTTAATTTGCATAGGAAAGAAGACCTGATGGCAAGAATGCAAGAGATGAGCCTCTGTGTTTCAGTTTAAAAAGAAATTCCATCATGGTTAGATGATATCGTGGAGAGGCATCTAGACTTGTTAATCCCACAAAAAACAATCTATAGATGTTCATAATACATGCATCGAGTTTGCCTTAAAATCAGCAGGACTTTCACTATGTTCTGAGGCTATACTTTAGCTATTGATATCAATTTCCGTTTTCTTCATGATTATCTCGAAAATCTTTTGTCCAACACATAGCATTCATTTTGGTTCAAAGGAAAAAATTCCAGCATTTAAATTCTCTCTCTCTACAAGATATTTTGGATAAGATTCCTAACCTAAATTTTAATTTACTGGAAAACAGCAGCTGTTATTTTTAAACAAAATTGTTACTATCATCTAATAAACACAAGAATTATCTACTTTCTTGAAATGAATTCTGAGAAACTTTTTGGCTTGAGGAAAACACACACAATTATAAGACGAAATTGACCTTGAAATGCGCAGGAAATAAAAAATTAGAGAGAGAGAGAGAGAGAGAGAGAGAGAGATAATATGCATATAAATTCTGGATCTTTATATTGCTAGGGAAAATGGGATGCCCAAATCTTCATTATCAAGGCCTAGCATAAACTTTAATGATCACGTACATACTATTCATCTTCAAAAAATATCAATGATGTGCGATAAGAGCTCAGCTACAAAATTCAGCATAAAGATGCCTGAATCTATTTTGCATCCAAAACAGCTTCTATGATCAAATATTGACTGGAGGTCTTATCAGTGAACATAGAGGGAGGAGAGAGATTTCTGGTGCAGATTGTGTCCTCCTGCTCCAAGTGTGTGCACTAAAAGAGGTTTAAAATTTTTTTTTAACAATGCAAGGCCTCTTTTTCTGTGGACAGATAAAAGCCGCGAGGTTACAGAGGTTAGAGATCACAGACAATGCACTGCTTCAACTCTTACACAAAAAGTTCCATAGCAACAAAGTGAAGAAAAAGAGAGACAACTCTTGAAGGAAATTAACCACCTGTGACTGCATGGTGACGAAGCACAACCAACACAAAGCCCCATCTCTCTGACAACTCATTTCTTATAAAATTCCCATTCCTTACAATAAACTCTGTGAAGATAAATTCATTTTGTATACCAAATGATCTAATCCCTTTGAAACTGCACACATTCATTTTTCTTTTGACACCTTTATTTAAACTTGAAATCTTTCATATAAATGGCAAACCTGAAATCTTTCAATTTCTACATTTTTTCAACACAATCTCATGCAGGATCTTTTATAAGAATGGTATGGTCTGTCTGCAATTCATACATTTATTTTTCACTGCAAAGTATTCAAGAAAAATTGAACAGAAACATGCAGAATTCATAAAAAAAAAAGTGCATATAATCATCTACTTACGTTTGTGCTGAGTTGAGTGGTCAGTGTCACCACTTTTTCCTGGGCGGCCTCCAGTTCTCTTCGTAGTTTACGAATCTTAATCAAAAAATAGAAAAAAAGGTTTCCTATGATACAAATTACAAAACCCCACTGGTAGAAACAGGGGAGTATTTTTCTCGTCTGCAACAATTTCTATTTAATTTTCCTCTTATCTTACACAAAGTTAGAGATATCTCCAGTGGTTTTTCTGTCTGATTCTTGTCTTTTGAAAAACTGTCTTAAACTTTTCAAAGCCAAGAGGCTGTAGTGCTAAATTCGCTAACAGGGAATCAGAAACACAAGACTGCAAAAAAACATATAACGTCTTCACTGACAGATAAGAGAAATATTTTCAATACACATATTTCTCTCTTCTATTTTCAAAATATTTGACAGAATAAAAGAATCTACTGCATCTGATCAGCACTGGCTCTTGGCCAAAGTCAACCTTTCATTGCACGCAGATTATTACATAAAAGATATTTTCTGATTCACCCGTATCATTAAAATTCATTTGCATCAAAATATGCACTGCAAACTTGCAGTGAAAAAAAATAGATATGCGATAATGCTAACCCAAAGGCCAGTTTGATACAAAATTAATCATAAACTGACATTTTTTGTGATTGCCACTTGCCAAGTTGCTTATCAATATCAAATTACTTATCTATGAAAAAAGGATTCTCAAAAGGTGTCAATTTTGATCTTTAGGTAATTAACTCACAAAAAATTGTTATACCTTGACCTTTAACCTTGCACATCCTTCCAATTTAAAACAAGAATGCAGAGATCTATATATGAATGACTGCTGAACTCTTTGCTAAATTTATATTTGGGTCAAATCGAGAACAGGAAAATCAACTTTTAAAGTACTTCTTTTCTGAAAAATTAAACCCCTCTAATGTTTTGGCCTCAGCACACTGCATAACTTAAAGCAGCAGCCTAATATTTTTCAAATCAATCAAAACAGCTCCTACACAGAAGGTGAAGAAATCCCACACATGACTTCTCCATTTAATTCACATATAACTCACCTCATGCTGCTGTTTTTCTTCAGCCTGCAAAGAAAAAGAGGGATAAAAATGATATGCAATTATCACATTTTTATTACCACCTGTTTTCTTTAAGTGTCTATGTGCATGCCAATATTTCTACAGTGTGTTCCTAAAACCATGCACTTCTAACATTGTTAGTCTTAAGGATAACAAAAATACTTATATTTGGAAAAGAAAAGGCTGGTATCAAATTAAGAATTTTTGTCATGATCAATAAATTAGTTCATTTATTTTTTCTCTTTAATTTCTTACCGTGGAATATATGGAGGAGGTGCAAGACGCCAAAGACAAGTTTGAGCCATGAACTGAAAAAAAATAAAATGAACAAGATAAAGAGAGGTAACTCTTTTTCATTTTAACTTGAAATATATCAGTTAAATTTGGAGTGATTTCCCTTATATTATTGGCAACTCCAGAAGAATTGCATGCACAGAAATGGATGTCAGTCGAAAAAATGATGATAATTATTAGATGTACATCACATCATCTTAGGGTTTGCAGTGACAAGTAATGATTTTTGCTACTGGGAAGGATTATGCAGCATAGCTCATTCAAGATCAACTCAAGATTCAAGAAAATTGATGAACTGATGTTGGAAGGAGTATGTAAGAATGATGGGAGCAGATGGAGTCAGAGAAGGTCAGGGGTCATGAGGATGGAGACAGTGTATGTATGTTACACAGAGGACAGATGATTGTAAGAAACCATCAGAAGCTATCAAGGATTATACAGCTAGAAATGTCTGAAAGAAAAATAAACTTTTAAACACATGCACATAAATGTAATAGTTTCATGCAGTGTGATTGAAATTGATTTTTAATATCATCAGGGTAGAAGCCAATAAAAAAAAATTAATGTCCAAGTTAATAGAAACCTAATAGTTGGGAGAAATAGAAATTTTGTGACTTTTTTGTCAAAAAATCTCATGCAATCCATTAACAAAAAGGAACTCTGACATCCAAACACACATGCAAAACTTGAATGAAAAATTAATCTACAGAAAACTCAAAGCAAAGGACACCTCTTTTTTCTTTACATAAAAAACCAAAACAATATTTACACTTATTACAAAATTAATAAAAAAAAATATTCATTGGAGTGTGGAAGTATCCTTTACATGAAGAAGGAGTTGCCATGCCTAAGAATCAATTTATCTCAAGTCAGAGAAAATTTGGATTGACTCACTGCTTCCATCTTCATCCCTATTCATCTTGGAGTGAGCCAGGCTACCATAGGGAGGCAAACTTGACTGAGTATTAGACCGCACCATGTTCTGGTTCAAACTGGCAGGATTGGCATATCCACCACCACCCATAGATCCACCACCAAAAGCAGTCATAGGATATGTGAAGCGAGAGGAATGCGAACTATTGCTAGGGGTTGGAGAGGAAGGGGGAGGGGGACTTGGAAGTTGAGAGAAAGAGTTGGTACGTGTGAGATTTTCCCCCTGGTGTGTGGAAGCATAGACCGAGTCAGACTGAGTAGATTTGAGACTGTTTGAACGAGACAGGCTCACATTGTTCATACCATGAGCAAGAATGCGAGCACTGGCATCACTCAAGGCTCGAGCTTGCTGTATCTGAGCCTGGATACTGGAAGCATGAGAAGATATGGAATCCATACTCTCAGTCTCAGACATATGCATTGGAGCATTACCATTTGTATTCTTTAGCCAGATTCCCTGTCCTGAACCAGAATTGCGTGGACTTCCATATTCCATAGCCACATAATTTCCTGGTGCGCCATTTTGTGGCATATTGGGAAGAGATTGAGAATACATATTAGGTCTCCCATTTTCATTTTTCCCATAAGTAGCATGGGGATTGGAAATGATTGTATTATTGCACACAGAAGTATTTTCACCCTGTGAGGGTGTTCGACTAAGACTGGTTTTGCTACCATATTTTTTCTGAGTACTCCTACCCAGAGTATTTGACTTATAAAGTTCCTCAGGAGGAGAAATATTGTTACCATTTGTCCTTGCACCATTTATTCCCTTTCTCTTTCTCTCCAGTGTAGCACTAGTGAATAATTCCTCCGTTCTCTGCGGTGTTGTTCGTATGGATGTAGCACTTCCTGGCCTTGGAATTCCAGATGGAGTGTTTTCCCCTGATTTGATTCCATTGCTGTCATTCATCACACCATGTTTGGCTAGACGACTACCAACTGTTGAGCTCTTTGAGCAAGAACTCCCTGAACCATTGCTCTTGTTGCTTCCAGCTGACCCAGTACTTGTGTTGCTGAGAGGACGGCGGTATCCAAAGCCACCCTGACCACCTGGCCCCATGCCACCTTGCTGAACACGCCGCATACTAGCTTCCAATAAATGCGACTGATCAGTGTTTGTTTCCGAGTCCTTCTTATTGGACAGACTGTTGGAAGAGGAGTATGCACCAGATTTATTTGGATCAACGTAATCAGCACTATGAGTTCTGTAATGGTTAATATCTGGCTGACTAGTGTTAGAAAGTTTTCTCATTTGCCCTTGCACTGGAGGTGATCCCCATTGTTGCTGCATGGGTGAAGCATGGCTATATCCATTAAACAAGTAAGCATAGTCTGCAGGGTCACTACTTAGTAAGCGGTTGGTCTGAGGGAGAGAATACTTCCTCCAACCAGACATAGGACTGGCATCACTGCTGTACTCTGCCCCCATGAAAGCACTGGTCCCCAGATTAGGGGCACGTTTGCCTTGCACATGTCCTGGGTAGCCATTTGGAATTCCTCTGGCATTTGCAATGCGTTTGATGCTGTTGTAAGGATTATTTTGATCACTCTGTCCTGATCCACCGGTTAAGTTTCCGTCATCAGTGCTAATTTCGTTAATTGTATCACTTATGTCTCCACTGCTAATGGAACTGCTGTCATCAAAACTGAAAGTAGAAATATGACCAGGAATTAGTATTAATGCACATTTAGATTTAGGCCATCTTTAAAAATATTGTTTGTTTGCCCTTTCCTGACTGACTGACTAAAAATGGCCAGACTCAAAACTTCTTTTTTAACCTCAGGAAACTATTGTTTTTTTCATTCATTCTGAAATTTTCTCCTACCATTAATAACTATTTTAACTTCATACTCATAAGTTATTTTTTAATTAAAAAATTTTCCCCTACCTACCTACCCACTTTATTTATCCAGAGTTGGGAGAGGACAAGCAAACATTATCTTAAAGATGGCCTTAAGTACAATACTATTTACCATTAAGTTATTTATTAATAGTCATCATAACTCTATATTACTTTCATTTGTATCACATTTTTTTTTCAATTTAAAGAAAAAAATGCTTTATCTGCATTTTGCACAAGTGAAACACAAAGGCATGGTTAACCTATAGAGCTTGTCTAATGAACTTCTTTTTTGCTGGTAGCAATATTGTTTTCATCAAAGGAATACTTTTATAACCTCTAATTTCCATCTCCTATTCATATTTTGCATCTTGTATATAAATTTAGACATTCTTTTAATAACACAAGACACGCTTCTAAAAATTAATATCCTGTTCTCGCTAAGGAAAGAACAATGATGTATAAATAACCTAATCTGTTTTGTCAAAATTAATAAGGGCAGCTAAGCCATCATTTTGTGCCATCATTGGAGTACAAGCAACCCACACTATCAATAATATGAAATTCTCACAACAATTTTTAAAGATTATATTGATTGTTGGTAATATTTTCATTAACCCGTTAGTCCAATTCAGTATACAGCAGCCCTAACAGTACTGATTAAAAGTTAGTAAAAAGATTCATTCCAAATTGATAATGAACTTAAAAGAAATATTATGACCTAGCATACCCAGCTGATGAGGTTGAATTGTTGATGGCGATCATTTCTTTTAATGTCAGATTATCCAGTGTCGCCAGGAATTCACCCTGTGTCCAAGAAAAGCTACCAAACCTATCAAATCTAACATTCCATTTCACAAAGAAAATCTCCGGCAATAATTCACACAGAAATCATACATCTGAATCCCCGGGGTAGAGCTACAAACTCCCACATTATTCTATAAAACATCACATTGTTGACACATTGAAATTTTGTCATTATTGGAGCAAAAGGCTTAACACTAATGCCATGCCTACAGCTGGGTGATAAGATAACATATTATAATCTGAAAATCTGCACTCAAGAAAACCAAAATATCACATTTACACAGTGTATATTAGCCTTACAAAATACTGTGACCTATAATTTTCCAACTCACGTAACCCCCTGACAAAAGAATTCATGTCCGATTGGTTTCTTTCAAAAAAAAGATGTCAGAGTATATTGGCAGGGATGAAAAATCTGTAATTGCTGTAATCAAACTCTACTTTTCACCATGAATTAAAACCTGATTTTATTTTTGTGGGAATTTGAAATGTGTCTGTAAAACTTAATTTATGGGCAAGCGACATATCAGGTGTGAAATCCATTTCCACGTCTGATTTCATCTGATTCAGGTGTTAAATAGGTGTACTTAACACTTCAATTAGATGCTCTTTTCTTTCAACAACAAAATTCTTTTTAAAAACTTTTCATAATGAAAGATTGCAATTTGAATAGGATTGCACTTGACACATATTTATACAGTATTAGTGACCTAGTTGAAATAAACCCAAAATATTTAGACCAAAAAGATGCCTGGCCTGACAGGGCAGGACACGATCAATAAATAAAGTAATAAATTTGAAGATTTTTTAAAAACACACTATAAATATACTCATTACTGCTGAGGTCATATAGTGCTCTTTGATGGGAAATCTTTTAACAAACACTACCAAAAAGATGTATTAGTTTTAATAAATGTTTAAGGATCTCTACTGTGATTGCTATAAATATACCAGATTCATTAAACCTCTACTGTCAGTCCCTCTATAATTAGAGCAATACATTACTCTATAACACAGAATAGGATCAATACTTAGAGTGTGATGTCTGAGTCATACATGTCTAAGGTTAGACAATGAAGTAGACAGATCTCACACAAATCCTAGAGAGTCAAGTCATCCTCTGTACCAAAAGTATCATATTTGTACGGGGGTGGGGGTTGGGGTGGGAGAGAGGAAGGGGGTACATAGTATACCTTTAAAAATTTATCTTTATGGTGAGATCGGGGATTAAGGCCATAGTGGGATGAAATAGGTTCACAATAATAATTTGTCTTGTAGATCCAACAGAGAGATTTTCAAGAGCTTAAAATAGTATAAATATAAGTTGATACTTCATATAAGCAAGATAAAAAAGATCCGGTGAAAAGCCTCCTACATTATTTGTAAATGTCATGTTGCTTTGAAATTAAGCCTTCAGGATGTTAAAATGTCACACAGAAACAAAATATATGTCACGATTTTTTATTTCATGGTTTTTTTGGTGACTAAAAGGCTAAGAGGCAGTTTGCTTAAGCTCTCTCTCGTTTTCTCATTCATTAGTAGCTTCATTAGGATAACATCAGTCAATCTTATTGATACATATATGGATCGGATATGAGACTTTATTGACATCTTTTCTGCAGGAAATTCTGAGCTAAGTGTCAAATTCTATACAGTAGATGTGTCTTATGGTGAAGCTGTTGGTATTGCATGCCTTGATCTATTATGAGAAAAAAGGGGGAGGGGGACTAAAATATTAACTACAGCAACACATTCTTAAGGAGCTTTACATATCTCAATGAAAAAGTAATCTACAATTGAATTTGTGCAAGAACTTGATCATTTCTTATATAAGCATTGGCTGATAGGAACTTCTTTGAAGATGAATGAATATAGAAAACAATTTTTCTTTCTACTCAGCAGTCCATAGTTTAATTTTGTTTTTATATATGCAAATTGAAAATGAGATTAAACTTTGAGTTTAGGACATTAATTTGATAGCTAGTGTCATTAAAATCTAAAATTCATAATGCCATATCCCACCTCAGGATTGTGATCAACATCCAGGTCAGACATTGCAACTGATCAATGGACAAAGAAACTTATAATGGAGGGAGGGGAGGAAAAATCACTGAAAAATTCAAAGCATCCTCAGCAGAGTACTTCGAAAGTGTTTGCATATAAGCCATTTGCTTGGCAGATTACAATTCAAAGCCTTGACCGCATACTTGCAATTTAGCCTGCAACTTAATAGAGATCTGTTCTCTGCATAGAATCACTTTACACAATGCATTTTATGTCTGAGCGATTCCATCATCGGAACAATGTGTTAATTCTTGTTTCAAGGAAAACTTCAGCTAAATAATTGAGACACAAAGAAAAAAAAGCATGGAATTAATTTTTAACAGCTCTCAGAGGAAATGCATTTCAAAAACATCAGGCATGTGCATTACACAATGCTCCTGCATCTGAAAAAGTCAAATTTCACCAGATTCTGCCAATGCTGACACCCTTACAGACAAATTTAAATGCATCTGCAACACAGTCTGACCAAAAACCAAACACAACTTTCATGCAGCCTCAATATGACAACTCTAGCAGAAGACAAGCCTCACTCTGACAATTCTAGCAGAAGAACTTAGTCTCCAGATGCTGCAATGTAATAGCCTTGTGTCTGTCAAATGCATTATTGTCAATTAAGTAAATTGTTGTTTGTAATATCTATGATAGGGGTCAGCTAGACAGACTTATGTCACACAACTGTCATGGTTTGCTTCTGAAGTTCTGTCAAATATTGCATTCAAGCATTTGGCATTTGACATCAGCATCAGAGATGCAGGCGATTATATTTGATGAATGAAACATATTCCATTGTTCTGTGTAGTCAGCAGTGCATTTTGGTACTTTCTGTCTCGGTGCATTAGTCTTTTTCTATGAAAAATTACCCCCCCCCCCCCCAAAAAGGGCCCATGGCTCACAATGCTCACATTAATCACTCATAAGGCCATGCAATTCTTCACCAGCATGATTGCTTCCCTATATTTTCCAATGTAAAATTTTGATCATTCATTGTCGTCCCATTATATCCCCAGGGGTCATCATTTGAACAAACTTGAATCTAACACAACCTAATGATACTTCAATATTTATATGAATAATCATACCTTTGCTGTTCTTGAGAAGATTTTGAAAGAGTTTTTGCTAGATATTCCCATGTGAAACTTTGATCCTCCATTGGGGCCCTACCCTACCCCTCGTGGTCATTATAAATATTTGACCAAACTTGAATCTATACTAAGGATACTTCCATATATGCCTTTCCTGTTCTTGCGAAGATTTTGAACGATTTTTTCATATATACTCCTATGTTAAACTTTGATTACTTAATGTGGCCCCATCCTATATTTGGGGTCATGATTTGAGCAAACTTGAATGTACACTACGTAGTTAAGCTTTCACTCAAGTTTCATCTTTTCTGGCACAGTGGTTCTTGAGAAGAAGAGTTTAAAAGATGTCACTAAATTTTCACCAATTCTTGATTTTCTCTCCTTAAAAAAGGAAGTGGCCCTTCATTTGAACAAACTTGAATCCCTTTCACCCAAAGATACTTCATGGCAAGTTTGGTTGAAACTGGCATGGTGGTTCTTCATCAGAAGTCAAAATGTGAAAAGTTTAGAGATGGACAGACAGACAGACAAAATGTGATCAGAAACCTCACTTGATCTTTCGCTGCTCAGGTGAGCTAAACCCCCCACCATATACAGGACCCCCTCCCCTCAAGCCCAATGAAGAGCTCAGATGGTCTCTTGTTCAACCTTTTCAGCTGTGAAGCTGAACCTAACCTGATAAAGGTAAAACTGAATCAACTGTATCCTTCTCTTTCCTACCTTTGACATCATTAGCCAAATCTAATTGCTCTTCATTCAATATGCAGAAATACTGAGGAAAAAAGTACCAAATTTGCAGATGAGATTTATTGTTGTTCTGCAGATGTGCGACTATGCCATAAACAAAATCTA